ATTGCCCCAATTCCTTTCTAGTTACCACACCAGCAGATTTGACCAACCCTCGCATATTATTCCAGAGGAAAAGAGATGGGATATATTTTATCTTTGCTTTAATTTTTCACGTATCTTAATAATACCAAACTCTATCATTTAATGTGTTCCTAGTGACCAGTTTAGTGTGATATACATGTATTTAAAAAAATTTATGACTGAGAAGCATATTGGAATGATATATTTAGCTTACCATTTTGGCCTGTTAATGAAATATTCTCAAGTTCGGTCCTCATATTTTTGGTCTAATTATCAAGTTTAGAGAGTATAAACTGCTGTTCTCCTTCACTTTTTCCCTTGCCCACAAGCTGTGACTTTCTCTAATCCCCAGGGATGTACCATGTCGTCCCAAACGGAAAGAGGGAGGAGGGAGGTCAAACCACTAATTTTACTGCTCAATTTTAAAGCTGGCCTCAATTTCAAAGTGAAAGAGGGTGAAGATGACGGTTTAAGTGAGACCTCAATAATTGTGTTTGGGTTTTTATTATCTCCGATTTGGTATTAATGTTCTGAATTTTTATTGGGGGAAAACTTATTCTGGCTCTTTTCTGGCACTCAAAGTTCCCTTAGATCTTGCAGGTCTAGTTAGTGTATCTGGCATTTAGACATCAGCCTGAACAACTTCTCTTTGGACTAAGAGCTGAGAATACCATCAAACCTTTCATGACCAAGAAGAACAATTCTGAAAAGTCTGGAGAAAGAGCAAGAGTATTGGCCAAGCATGTGAGCCAATGTGAGCCTGAACTTGACACAGCCAGGGGATGTGGGATGCGTCCCCTGTGGAATGAATACTGAGCAGTCTTCTCCTTGGCCTTCAGCAGCCCCCGGAGCTTTTGCTTCATATGTTTGCAGAGTCCTTTCTTCCTTTTCATCTCCTCTCCCAACATTTCTATTTCTACAGGGCCATGTCAATATCTCTCTACCCACAGATGCTTTACGCTTTCCCCACTTTGCTGTCTACAAGAGAATGACCCAGTGGGCAGAAAAATTTGGGTTTCAAAAATATATGTCCTGTAGGGACTTTGCAGTTTGGTTTACATATTCCCTCTTCTTCATATGCTCACAAATTCTTTTTCTGTTTCTTATGTTGCTCTTGTTACAAATCAGGCAAACAAGTAAAATGGACTCATAAAAGCTATCGTATTGGATGGCACAAAATCCTGGTACAAAACAGGTAATCAAAGAGTACTTTTTTTTAACGGTTAAAACGAATGTATTTGCTACATTAATGATGCTTAAAGGATTTATTTGTTGCTGGAATTTGTTTAGTGCATTTCCAAGTACATTCATAGACATATATGTTACAGCCAAATATACAGCTAAATATTTAATAGTTGGAAAAAAAGATTGATGTTTTGAATTTTGAAAATCATGTATTACTATATGTAAGCCTGTCATAACATGAAACACGTTTTGATTTCACTTTCTGTATTTAAATTTCACCACATAAAGGCAAGCTCAGTCAATTATTTTATGTACCACATTTTATTAAGGTTTGATTTAAAATTAATTTAACTCATATTTGGGACTAAATTGTAGTTTTCTTCTTTATTCCTTTAGACATTTTTAGATGACTTTTGATTATAGCAACAGTAACAACTAATATCTCAATTTCTTCTTTGTTAAATGTTATTTTTTAAGGTTTAAACAAGATGACATTTAATAGAAAAGCCTGGGTTAGTAACAGCTAGGATTATTTACATAATATATTTTCCACAAGAAAATCTTTTTTTTTTTTTTTTTTTAATTTCTAGGAGAGAGAGAGAGAGACAGCGTGAGCAAGGGAGGGTCAGAGAGAGAGGGAGTCACAGACTGAAACAGGCTCCAGGCTCTGAGCTGGCAGTCAGCACAGAGCCCGACGCGGGGCCCGAACCCGCGGACCGCGAGATCATGACCTAAGCGAAAGTCGGACGCTTAACCGACTAAGCCACCCAGGCGCCCCTTCCCACAAGGAAATCTTATACACTTTTTTATTTATCTCTAGGAAAACAATGTTAATTAATGTTGCTCTTTTCTTTCCCCCATGAGAAAAGAGTTCCTAGGGCTGGCTCAAGAAGAGGGGTCTTATTGAAGGATTGCGGAGCAATTGAAGTCATAGGCATAAAGACGGTAAGGAGAGCGTCACTGGGTCTGAGACCTGGGATGTTGAGGCTTATGGCTGCTTTCTCTCATCCCGAAGGCACTGATGGTCTCAGCTGGCTCCCATCTGCCTTTCTTTGCAAGTCTGCTCTATTTGCTTCCCTTAAGCCAAACGACCTCGGACAATGATTCTCCTTTGGTGCTCAAACAATGCAGAGATATTCTCTGGGGAAAGTTCAGTAGAAAAGTGCTTGCAAAGGCAGGAGTCCAGGTAGCCCATAGAGTTGTCATTTTTATATCCATCCCTTTTACTCATGACTTCTCCCTTTCTCTCTGGATCTGCTTCCTTTTGCCTGTCTGTCCTTTCCATTTATCTCAGGATCATCACAGGGTTCCCACTTTCCTGTGCTCACTGCTCCATGAAGCCTGCTCTGTTTTCAGAGCCCTGAGACTTATTTGCACAAGTCTTCACCGTGAAAATTGTCTTCTTCTTCGGTTCACATTCTCAAGATAGAAAATATAATTGTCTTAGCTTAACTTCATGAAGAGGGTCACCTATGATTCGTGGGCAGTACTTTCTTATCAGGAGCCCACTCGCAGCCCAGTTGCCTGTGGTGGTTCCTATGGTTTTGACCACAGCCCACTCTGTGGATGTGCCTTCGTAGCATAGGGATACATCCACAAGAAAAGGATAAGGAACATTTGTAACACTGGTAAAAAAAAAAAAAAAAAAAAAAAAATGTATGGATCCCATTTTGAGGAGAAGTAATCATGCTATCTTGGATAAATTTTTTAAAATATTATAATACAAAAATCACTTAAAATGATATAAAATAAATAAAAAAGAATAAGCTAACAGTGAGCGCATTTGCTTAACTTATAGTCCAATTCTTCACCAAACAACACAACCCAGAAATGTTCCTGTGCAGGCTTCTCCTGGGATGATTTTAGAGAAGCTGTAATTATGGATGACTGTGGATGACCCCGCTGACTCTCCATTGCTCAAGATTTCATCATGAATTAAGTTGGACTCCTGGAGCGTTTCATCCAGGAACCATATGGCCCTGACCACTTGCAGAATTGCAGCTGCATTGGGCCAGCTTTCCACTGATCCTCATGAAGTTCTGTTGCAGGAAATGGCACTATGAAGATCTTACTGAATGGTCTGTAGGAAACACATCATTCCCCTCAATATGCCTTGTGTGGGACCCACTGGAGAATGTTCTATTATAAATAATACCAGGGTGTATATGTGAGCTTATGTCTATCTATCTATCTATCTATCTATCTATCTATCTATCTATCTATATCTATCATCTATCTATCTACCATCTATCTATCCAGTATGTACATTTCACTGCTCCAGGATGATATTTCCTCTTCAGTGACAATGAGAATTAAGTATATAACCATCAACAGCTCTCCTTTCATTTTGCAGTCAGGAAACTTAGAATCAAAATCTGGACTTTTTTTTCTGACTTTCATGCTTTTAAACTCTCTTATTCACCCTTAAACTTCTTTTCCTCTCCTCCCAAAGTCAGTCTGCTGTTTTAATGCATACTTTAATTCTAAACCTCGGGGTGCCTGGATGGCTCAGTGGGTTAAGTGTCTGACTCTTGATATTCGCCATGATGGGCCCTGCTCTTGTTCTTCTCTGTCTCAAAATAAGGAAATAAACATTAAAAATTACTTTAATTCTAGCCTTGTAGTCAGAATAACACTTTAATTTTTATATAGCCTCAGCTCAGTTCCTAACATAAGGCTCTAGAGTCACCAAAGAGAACCATAATAGGATCCAAGTGAGATATAGTTCCCTACACTAATTCAATTCCATTATGTCCCTCTCCTGAAAAAAAAAAAAAAAAGTCTTAATACCTCTCTTTGCTTACAGCAGAATGCCAAAATTTATTGTTCAACATTGTCCCCTATTGTACCTATAAATTCTTACCTCCATATGCTTCCTAATGTGATTCCATTTCTAGAGTAATGGATGATTTTATTTTTTGCCTTATAATGTACATTTATGCAGAGCATCACATGCTAGTTCATGCTGTTTTGTGCTTCTTTAAATTCATTTACCCTCTACCCATGCTTCAAAATCCAAATAAAAGCCTAAAATTTAACCCAGTTGACCAAGGGAAAAATAATTACCGCCTTTTCTGACTGCCAGTATTCTTTATTAACTGCATCAGGGGTTTTAGCATGAAAGAAATGTAGTTTAACCTCCCCTCCCCCTTTGAGTGGCTGCCAAGATCACAAGGGTTTTCAGTTTTGTTAATAATGTTTCCTTACATAGGTTTGTCTCCCTTTATCACCCGCACAGGAAAGCGTTAATATAGCAGAATTGAACTTTAATGCTTGTGGGACTGGCCTTTGGTTGGCACCTGGGAACTTGACTCTCAGATTGGTCTCTCTCTGTCCCTAACTGATAAGTTAGTCTTGTTGTGGCTGGTTTGTTTGTATAAACAACAGGATTCATGGCAGACACATAGTCAGAAGTGCCTATACCACCAGCTCCCAATAAAAATCCCTGCATTCTGATTCTTAACCTGGCTCCCTTAGGCAGAAACAATGCATATGTGTGGTTGCATTTTCACTGCTGGAGAAAACACACTTGGTGTGACCCCATTCAGGCTGGAGGGGAGAGGCCATAGGGATCCTGTGTATGGATTTCTCTAGCTCTTGGGTGTTTCTGTTGGTTTGCGAAACTTGGGAGCTTTCTAGGTGAAATTGGAAATTAGCTCCTGTAAATGGTGGACAAAGAGCGATGTAGAGGCAGGCCACTCCAGATGGCGGTAGGTGGCAGTGTTAATAAAGCAGAGGACCTGCTCTATGTGGCTTGTCTTGGGGTGGCTGCAAGATGAGTAGATCTCTACACCTACCTGCGAGAATCTTATCTGGAGTCCTTAGGTAGGTTCAGTCATGTATAACGTACAGATGGTCTCAGTAACACCTTACTCTCTCAAAGCTGCATCCTTAAAATGGTTCCAACTATGGGAAATGTGGGCAGAATGTACATTCCATGGGGGTGGGGTGTGTGGAGCCTCTGATGGAACAGGTCAGCTGGTGGTCACGTCCTCTTGATGACTTCCTCCCGCAGATTCTTTTTCCTTTGCTGAAGAATTCTTTTCACAGTGATAAACCGTCGCTGTGTGTACAGAGGGCAATTGTCCTGTGACTCTTCTAGCTAGTGCATCGCCCAATATGAGGCTGATCGCGGGGACCCTTGAGTATTACCTGGAATGCTGTTCCAATGACATTAATGGTGTAAACTGGATATAATCTCACGGTACCGAAAGGAGGGATGGGAGTGGAACGTTAGTGGAAGAGTAGAGTGATGCTCCTTCCGGCAGCAGGAGAGCGTGCAGATGAAGGGCCGCGTACGAAGCACAGTGGAGAAAGGTGGGTAGGGGCCGGCAAGGGTCAATACCAGCGCGAATCCCTCTGGGCCCCCACAAAGTTCAGGACTGGCAAGTGCCAGTTAAAGGGTCAGGAAGAGCACACTGTCAGAAGGAATTGGAGGGAAGTCCACTGGTCTTCCAGCCCTGTCTTTCATAAACACCCGGGATCAGGTGCCTACCCTTGGGGGGGGGGGGGGGGGGGGGGGGGGGAGGGAAGAGTACCACCTGGTGGAGACTTCCATAGTTTTAGTTATCCTGCAACTCTGCAGCAGTCTCCCTACCAGTCTGGCATTTGACGAAGTCCACCCAGTTACCGCACGTTTCTGAGCAGCATCTGACCCCTTCGTTTATATGTGACTTCATAACCCAGCCGCCTCAGACATCTGAGCAAAATCTATCATGTGACACCTATATCAGAAAACATCATTTAAAAAACTTGACACTTCGAGTTTTTATTAAATGCTCTCCTCCTCCAGTATAACAGAGCCCACAGGCAGCTGTTTTATGCCCAGAGCCCAGCCCTGTGCAGAGATGACTGGACCCAGTCCCTCAGAGGAGAGCACTTTCCTTAGGCATTTAGTCTGTGTGCGTCTGTAAGTTTGGCAGCATAGAGAGATTTGTTTCTCTCTCCCACATGGCGGGGGAGGGGGGGCGCGGCAGGATAAGAAGTCTGATGACGGAGATAAAATAAATGGAGCTGAGATGAACTGAGGTGAGGGGAGGAAAATGAGAAAGAATCGCTCCCGGAGGCAGGGCTGCCTCCTGAACGCTGGGTCCTGGAAACACCTGGGTTTCCACTTAATGGTTCGGTTGGCTCTGGGGGAGGGCTGAGCTCATCACCCACTGCCTTGCTCTGATTCTCAAACGCATTATAATTAGGTTAATCTCAGACATATACTTTTGAAATGCAGACTTTTATTAGAAAATTATTAGAATAAAAAAAAGGAAAATTATCAGGATCTAGTACATTACTATGTACACACTGGCTTCTGTCTCCCTCTGTATCTATATATCGATATGTATATCTAGGATATATGAAATACATTGTAATGACACAACATATATTATTATAATCTATATAGTCCATAAATATTAACATTTTCATGTTTGTTGGTCCCCGTTTCTTTTTTTTTTAATGTTTTTTATTTATTTCTAGGAGAGAGAGAGCGTGAGCAGGGGAGGGTCAGAGAGAGAGGGAGTCACAGACTCTGAAACAGGCTCCAGGCTCCGAGCTGGCAGTCAGCACAGAGCCCGACGCGGAGCTCGAACCCACGAACTGCGAGATCATGACCTAAGCGAAAGTCGGACGCTTAACGACGAAGCCACCCAGGCGCCCCTGTTGGTCTCCGTTTCTATCTGCCCTCAAAGAGCTTCATAAGTCACTAATTCTATCCCTAAAGCCAGGAGCCAGGGCAAGGTAAATGGTTCTTTGACACCCTCATGTGATTCACAGCCTTCGTCTCACACGCCCACTCTGGCCTCTTGCACGCCTGACACCCTGACCGACTGCCAGACTCAGCTGCCCAACTCATTCTGTTCTCTCTATTCTTGCTACGTCTGGGACTTGATACAAGGCGTCGACCTTCTCAGCTTACTTCGGTGCCCTCTTCTTTAAGGCTTCTCCCTGGTGGTACCTTGTTACCTGCCCAGTATCAGTACTTTGCATAAGAGGGCTTGGCTCTGAATCCTCCTGATTGGAGCTGTAGCCCCTGATTCCCCTCACCCCCAGGCTTCGGCCAGCCAGCCTCCTCTCAGCTCTGCCATTACAGCCTAGAGAGGCTTTCCTTCATTAAGGTGGACTTTGGCAACCCCAACATTGCTCTACCTCCAGCGCTGCTGCAAAGATCAAACTGAACGAGTAAATGGATGTGAATTATATTTATTTCAGATGGTGTACCATGTAGCATTGCCGTGTAGTGTGAGGGTTTTAAAAATGCATGCTCCAGGATACAAAAATCAATCTTTCGATAAAATTTATGCTGGAGAGGTCTGATTAAGCATAACTAATGGGTGGGTGTAGATGATAGAATAGTAAAATGTTGCCAAAGGAAGAAAAGATATGGGTATTCTTGACAAGTTAGATAATATTTGAAACGATAAAAGGTGTTCCTGGAAAAAGAGGTTAATTTTGGCTCCCATCCGTAGTGAGAAAGAAAATGAATGTGACATAGGGGGGTTTTTTTGTTTGTTTTTTAATTTTTTTTTTTTTTACTTAGGCAGTACTGTTTATTCCTTAGTACCCTGCTCTCATCCAGGTGTTTTAAAACAGATGTTTTTAATTCAGATTTCTCGGGCACAAGTATATAAACATGTGGAGCTCTCCAGTACATATGGTGTCATCTTCCCCCACCCTCTTCCCAGCTAGAATTACTGTGTTGACTCCTTTATAATTTCCAGGCATCTTGCCCATCTTTCACATTCTTAAAATTATAGCTAGAAGCTTTGTAGTGACTTTTGCCAACACCTTAAGTACCTTATTAATTGGATTTGAAAACCTGTATCTAGACTGGACATTGAATTCGTTCAATTAAAATTAATGAGTACCCATGGAGCTGCTAGCTCAGAGTTGAGTTCTTGCCAAGTGATCTCTAACAGAAAGAAAACGATTCTCCTTTTTAACAACGACTGTCACAATCAGCAAAGGACTGGAGGGTCTTCATCATTGCCAGGGATGACTTAACACCATTTCCCACTTTCCCCACTGTCACACTCTGGAATGGGTGAAAATGAGTAAGCGTATCTTGACCATAGCTTTGACTCTTAGGTTGGTGTCCTTCAGGGTGCCGTGTTGCCATGTTCTTCTTGCACATGAGGAAGTAGCTCCGGGCTGCCTGGGAAGATTTATTGTCAAAAGAAAACAATGTTGAAAGGCTGGATCAATGAATGGTATTTTGGATCATTTTTTATTGTCCTTTTTGAGAGTCTTTAGAATAGTCTAATCCTCACCATTTAGAAATTATTTTCTGTGGTTCTAACCAAACACATGGTTGTACCAGAAAGGGACATATTGGAAGGAAATAATTTAATGGTGACCATTAATATTGTAATTGTAATGTTACTGAATTCTTAGCTCTCTAAGCAATAACGGTTGTCTACTCGGCATAGCAACAATATATTTGTGGGCTTCAAGGGGGGTATAAATGAGTTTTTAAAAAAGGAAAAGAATGTATATCATGGCATTCTCCCTCACTGGACTATAAGGCTACTTGGACATGAGGGCTTTGTCTTAAATTATAGACATGGCTCCTATTTTAATACTTGCACCTGGATGTTTGCCATTCAAATGTTGCTCAAATTAAAAAAAGAGTTAAAATTCATCATTATATCTGCTGATGAAAGCACATAGAAACAAATGTACTTCCATCCCTGAAATACTGAATATCACAGATTTAAAGTGCATTAAGATAGACATTTTAAACCCTCTCTAGTCTCAGGGCTGACTCTTTAATCAAAATGGAATTGTTATGGGTGCAGCTGGGGAAATGCCATTTTTCACATTAGTTTAGAATTCCTTCTATTCTGAAACAAATATCCAGATGTTATTTTTAGCTTATGATACATAACTTGCAAAGAGCTGTATTTGGACACCTACCAAATGAAAAATGTAAGCATAACTATAGAAACACTCTGTTTCTGAGGAATAAAGGCATATCATCAAAATTAAATACAGTTACATGGTTTTAGCTAATGATTTAATAGTAGAAACAGTTTTTGAATAATAGGGCATTTATTTCATGTTCCTTTAAATTATGCAGAGGCGCACCTCTGCAGCTCAGTCAGTTAAGCATTTGACTTCTGCTCAGGTCATGATCTCACAGTTCGTGGGTTCGAGCCCCGTGTCGGGCTCTGTGCTGACAGCTTAGAGCTTGGAGCCTGCTTCAGGTTCTGTGTCTCCCTCTCTCTCTGCCCCTCCTCTGCTCATGCTCTCTCTCTCTCAAAAATAAATTAACATTAAGAAATTTTAAATAAAAAATAAAATACGCTGAAAAAATATACTACAAATGCTTAATTAGCCTTTATCATATTTGGTGTAAAATTTGATGAAGAGAAAGTTGACCATTGTTCATTCCTACTGCTGTCCTCAAAGTGCTTGGTTACCTGGAACCAAACATTGAGCTCTGACTTTCCTTATCGTAAGAAGTAAGAGTTGAACTAGCTAACTTTTCATGGATTATTTTCCATGATGACTTTTGCTCTATCGTATTCAGATAGTATCATGATATGTGGCTAAACACATGTTAAGATCACTACACAAGCACCTAGTTAGCTGTTTGAGAAAACGTCCATGATTTCACAGAAGCAAGGATATTCTAGCAAGCATTATTTCTTCATCTCCTTTGTTCAGGCATCCTCTGCTACCCCCTCGTCTCATGTCTTAAGACTGTTTGATACTCTCAAGTCACCTCTCACTTTCCAATGGGCCACTTTCAATGGACTCCTGTTTCTGGCACTGGTTTGAAAATTCTCCACGGAATGCATCTTATTTTTTCCACACTGTTAACTCCCTTGCCGTCGCCATACTTTCCTACCTCTTTGTGATGTTTGATGCGATGATACATGCCAACCACTAGATGCTTTCAAGTCCCTCAGCGTTTCCCAGTCTTTCTGGGCTTTTCTGCTTTCTTGCTGTAAGACTGAGTGAGACATCACAATCTGAAACTCTTGCAAAAGTGAATTCCTGCTTCTTTGCTTAAAATGTTTACGTCTCCTAACTTTATCCAGAAATACTTAGTGAGCACCTCCTATGAGTTTACATGGTGTCTCTAGACACAATAATGAGAAATGGACACCAGCTCTGCTCTTTATGCAGCTTCCAGTCTAGTGGGAAAGACACATTGATAGACATAATTG